TAACTTTTATGCTGTCCTTGCACGATAAACCCAAACTAAAATAAACTGTTGTCAAGTTAACAAAACAGTGGAGCAACGTGTCACACCCTGTCCTGTCTTCTCTTATGTTTTAGTCGGTCTCCGTTAATTACTCCCACCTGCATCTTGTTTCCCAATCACCATAGCTCCCGCTCCTCGTGCATTTAAACCCCGTCTGTTCTGTGTTTCATGTCGTGTCATTGTTTCAGTGTCCAGCGTGTGTGTTCAAATAAACTTATGTTAAACGGACTTACCTGTTCGCCTTTTTCCTCCCCGCGTTTGGCTCCTCATCTGATCACGCTCCACTCACCAGGCACGCACGTTCGTGACACAACGAGGTTGTGGAAACTCTTCACACATGCTTAGCAGCCATAGACTGGGACCCAACGAGGGCTGCTTTTGACAGCTTCAATCAATCAATCAATCAAAGCTTTATTTATAAAACGCCTTCCGCAACCCTGTCAGGAAGCCCAAAGCTTAACACTAGAATTACTATGCTTTCTAGTGCTGTATAGTCACTGACACTAGTCAGTGACTTGATGCAATTTGCTGGGTTCCTTATATAGGAAACATTATTTCTGATTGGCTTAATGAACTGACTAGAATTGGAATGTTTATTATGTGAAGTGCCTTGAAACGACTCTTGTCGTGATTTGGCGCTTTATAAATAAACTTGAATTGAATTGAATTGTGCATATTTGCACCATTGTCCTCCTGCTTTTGTTGTAACACACTAATTACCAGGGAACTCTGTAACATTTGTATTTACTCGGACTGCTAGCTCAGATCAATAGGGTGACGCTGCCATGGACGGGGGGACGGTGGTGGTGGTGGTGTGGGGGGGGGGGGGGGGTATCTTTACAGTATGTTCTAATGGGAAACAGACTTCAACACAAACGGTTGTTTTCTGCTTGGTCCTAGAGCTCAACCAGTGTCAATTTAATATAGCGTAGTATTACTTTTGGATGGTAAAAAGTGCAGGGGTCAAAACTTGACTTTGGAAAAAGTGGGGGGACATGTCCCCCCTGTCCCCCCCCCCCCCCCAAATTACGCCCATGGACGCTGCTCTATCTTTGACCAAGCAGTGTTGTTAATCACACAGCATTTTCCCCTCATTCAACCAGCAAACTTTCAGCGAGAAAAATGCAATTGATTGATTCAAAAGTGAAGCAGCATCAACTAAAAGAACCGTGGTGTTTCTGTCGTCTTCCTCAAAGATCCACTGGCCGCCAGTGTGATGACAGCAGGGGCGTGGGAGCGCGAAAAAAGACTTTTCTCATGTTTTTTCTCTTCCCTAAATATTTACTATTAGATTTGTTGACAATTTAGAAAATAAATGTAGACTTTTTTTAATGTGATGTTGATATTAGTGGAAAATAAATTTAAATGTTACTGGTACTTTTAGTCTCATTCTGTTGTGGAAATTCTGTGTAAATGTTGAACAAAAACTCTTAAAAGCTGCTTAAACATGCATTTTTTTATTGTGGTCCTATCTCTGATGGCTTTGAAATCATTTTAGCTGAAAGCATTCAGAGCCACTGTAGAAGAGAGCCTGAGTTTAGCTGCGGTAACTCGAGACGAACTGTGAAATAGTCTGAAAGGTTTTTCTGTTTTCTTGTTCAAGTTGAATTCAAACTGACATAAAATATGTGATGATGATAATAATAATAATAACAATTTGATGTCTAACAATTATGTTAGAGCCCAAAGGCAGAATAAAAGTTTTTTTTACGTCATTTTTCATGTTATCTTGTTGTATTGGAGTTTCACATTGTCCCACATTGAGTAGTCTCTGTCCCACATTTGGTGAGTTGGGATCTGGTCACCCCACATTGTTGCATTTGAACGACTGTAACGTATACAGTCAGTTAATCTACACTCACCTAAAGGATTATTAGGAACACCACACTAATACGGTGTTTGACCCCCTTTCTCCTTCAGAACTGCCTTAATTCTACGTGGCGTTGATTCAACAAGGTGCTGAAAGCATTCTTTTGAAACGTTGGCCCATATTGATAGGATAGCATCTTGCAGTTGATGGAGATTTGTGGGATACACATCAGGGCACGAAGCTCCCGTTCCACCACATCCCAAAGACGCTCTATCGGGTTGAGATCTGGTGACTGTGGGGCCGTTGTAGTACAGTGAACTCATTGTCATGTTCAAGAAACCAGTTTGAAATGATTGGAGCTTTATGACATGGTGCATTATCCTGCTGGAAATAGCCATCAGAGGATGGGTACATCTTAGGTGTGTTCTTGCTGTGTCTTTCTAATTCCATTCTTTCGTTCTACCCCACCATACACAAAATGTCAGTAATCAGAACATGATATCACCGAGCAAACATAATAACAGAAGAGAGAGACCGTAAACAAGAGGACAAACACATACAACACGCTTTAAAGACCTACGCATACCCTACATTTGGCAATAAACAAAGGAAAACAACAAACAAAAACAGAAAGCAAAGAACAACCCAAAAAAAGAACCAGAAACCCAGAAAGACAAGAACCAAAACCAGTGATAACCCTACCATACATCAGAGGCATAACGGAAAAAATAAGAGCAACAATGAAAAAACACAACATAAACACACCAACAAAGCCATACACAACAGTTAGAAACAGACTAGTACACCCAAAAGACAAAATATCAGCTGGACTTAAATGTGGAGTCATCTACGAAATCCCATGCAAAATATGCAATAAAACATACGTAGGAGAAACCGGATGCCAACTCAATACACGGACAATAGAACACAGAAAGGAGTGTGAGAAAGAGGCAAATCGTAAACACACAAGAGCAGCAAAAGAAGAAGCAGAAAGTACAATAAAAAAGTCAGCCGTAACAGAT